TTGTTTGGCAGGTCTGGGCTGGATTCGAACCTGCCACTTTAGGTGTATGTGGCTGGCGCCTTAGCCGGTTGAGCTACAGGCGCCTAGCCACGCCTGGCTATTTTGGTTGCAGCTGTCATTGTTGTTTGGCAGGCCGAGGCTGGATTCGAACCCACCACCTTAGGTGTATGTGGCTGGCGCCTTAGCCCTCAACATGATTTTCAAACAGGTTTTTTTTGTTTTTTTTGTTTTTTTTTTTTGGTAAAGACAGAGTCTCACTTTATAGCCCTTGGTAGAGTGCTGTGGTGTCACACAGCTCACAGCAACCTCCAGCTCCTGGGCTTAAGTGATTCTCTTGTCCCAGCCTCCTGAGTAGCTGGGACTACAGGCACCCACCACAACATCCAGCTATTTGGCTGGGGCTGGGTTTGAACCTGCCACCCTCGGTATATGGGGCCGGCGCCCTACCCCATTGAGCCACAGGCACCGCCCCAAACAGGTTTTTTTAAATCACTTAAGTTTTTTTTTTTTTTTGAGACAGAGTCTCATTATGTCACCCTCGGTAGAGTGCTGTGACGTCACAGCTCACAGCAACCTCAAACTCTTGGGCTTAAGTGATTCTCTTGCCTCAGCCTCCCAAGTAGCTGGGACTATAGGTGCCCACCACAATGCCCAGGTATTTTTTGGTTGTAGTTGTCATTGTTGTTTGGCAGGCCCTGGCTGGGCTCGAACTCGCCAGCCTCAGTGTATGTAGCTGGTGCCATACTCACTGAGCTATGAGTGCTGAGCCAAATTACTAAGTTTTTATAGTATGCAAGCCACAATTATAAATCACTAGCTATATTTATCTGTAATTTTCATGATTAAAATAGTTATATCAAAAAACTATGAGAATTTTTTCAACGTCTAGATATCTTAGGTTTGAGATTGTATCTTAAACTTCCAAATATTTATTGATTGATATTTAAGATAGAATCTTTTTTAGGCAGTGTAGTTTTTGGGTGCCTGGAATAGATACATAGTAAATCCCCTGAGATTTCTCAGTACTGTAATCATTTCTATGATCCTTTTATTTGTACTTCTTAAAAAGCAGGACAATAGTGAATTGTACTGTAATGCACTGTATTTTGTGCCTTTGTGTTGTGTAGTGTATACTATGTTGGTGAAGCTTACTTTGTTTAATGATGCAGCTAAAATAAATCTTTGTCAGTTCTTCTGCAAAGAAATCAGCTTTTGGTGAGCAAAAGCTTGTCTCTTTGCTCCAGCGGTCCTCATTGATAGTTATGGGTGTATCTGTGTGGCTTTGCCATTTTGTGTTTTCTTTAACATCCTTTCCAGGATGGAACATTTTTATTTTTCAGAAGATTATTTTGAAGATTTCACCTCTATTGTCCTGAAACAGAAAAATTCAATTCTTTGTTTGTACTGCAGTGTTGTCTGTAAGATCAGTCCCCCTTAATTATGCTTATGAAGAATAATAAATTCTTAACCTCTAGCTGAGATACTTTTGCCATACTCAGTATTTAAAGGTCTGTTTTGCAGATTGCCCATGAAGTTGTTAGGGCTTTGTTACTTGAAGACTCTGCCATTCACATATTTAAAATTTGAAGTCACAGAATCCAAGGGTATTGCACTTTGATATAAATTGGAGTTCCTGCAAGATTTGCAGTTGAGTTAGGTTGTTGTGTTATAAATCTGTCAGTTCGTTGTCCTTTTACAGGATTTGATGCAAAAACATTTTTAAACACCAAACATCAGTGAGCTATCAGCAATAAATTCTAAAAATACTTTGAGCAGTCTTAAAAATTATGTTGCCTTTTTTTCTCAAAATATTTCCTCTCAGGTAAAGGTTGTGACAGGAAAGGATGGGCAGACTGGGACCCCCGTTGCTATAGCAACCCAGCTTCCGCCAAAGGTTTCTGCTGCTTTTTCATCCCAGCAGCAACCGCTTCAGGTACTTGTCGATGGTTCTCGAATATAGTTTCATCCCAAACTTTTCCTTCATCCAGATATTTTAACCTTCAATTTACTACTTGCTCTTAGGCATTTTTTTTTTCCAGAGCCCATTCCTTATTTTTAAAAAGTAAAAAAGTCTTCCTGCATATAAAATTGTAAAGTTAAATTGCATGAGTAAATGACAACACGGATCTTGGTGCATTTTTTTTTTCATGTACTTGTAATGCAGTAGTAGCTTTTAGAATGCATGTGATCTAACACTTAAAGTCTTGTTGAATGTATGTTCAGGATTCCTTGTGTGCCGTGTTTTAAATGTTGGTTCTTTCTTGTGTCTTTTATCTGTATTTTGAGAGCAGTGCAAAACAGAACAAAAAAAAATGATTTAAGTAGATGATAACTTGGTATTTTCCACAGCTAGAGGAAATAACTGAAGTGAAATATACTTCTGAAATCATCAGGACCATAGGCTTCTCAATTGATAAGCAAATGCAAACTGAGTATATCTGATTTTTTTGAAAATCAGTGTTACATTAGTAATGCCAGGAATTTAAAAATGCAGGTCAAATTCTATTAGCCTTGAAATAAATTATCCTGATTTCTGAAAACACTTAACCTGTGTGGATTTTGTTATTTTTAATTTTGATACAGTTTCAGATGTACATAAAAGTTGGAATAACTATATACAAACCTCCCCTTATACCTTTACCCAAATTTACCAACTCTTAATTTTTTACCCCATTTTCATTATTTTCATTCTTTCTCATATAAATATGTAACATCATATCATACCTCTTTGTCCCTAAATACATCAGCACATATTAGGTAAGGGTGGTATCTTAACCACAATACCATGATCAAAATTCGAAAGTTTTCATATCGTATTAGCTTTAATGTAATATATTATAACTCACAGTTTATATTCATATTTCATCTGTAACTGATAATGCCCTTTTTAGTGTTTTTCCCCCAGTATAAGACCTGTTGCAGGATCCCCACTGTGTATACTTTTCATGCCCTTCTGGTCTTTTTTAATCTGGGTCGGTTTCTCAGTCTTTCATGACCTTGACAATTTTGAATTATGGACTAGTTGTTTTATAAAATGTTCTTTGACATGGGATTGTTTAATGCTTTCTTGTGTTGTGTTCGGATCATGTCTTCTTGAGAAGAATAGCACAGAAGTGACAATGTGTTTGTCTCAGGGCATCATATCAGAAGGCGATTATGTCACTTTGACCCATAACTGGTAATGTTAACTTTGACCACTTGGTTAAGGTGGTTTCTACAAGGCTTTTCCAGTGGAAATTAAGTTATTTTTTGCTTTTGTAAATGATGAGTAAATGGGGAAGATACTTTGAGACTATGTAAATATCTTGTATCTTATTAAACTTTTGCTTACAAATTCTAACATCTAAGATCAGTCATGTTTGAATTAATTATTAGTTTTTAAGTTTTAACTCATTTTAAGTTTTAACTAATTATTAGTTTATTAAGATTCCAAAATGGATTTTCTAATTCTGTCATTCCTTCAACATTTATTAGTTGGTATCTACTGTAATGATCTTTACTTTTGTTTTCCATTTTTATATTCATATATGGATTTTTATTTCAATAATTATGTCACTATCAGTATTTATTTGCTTACATTTATTTAAATGTATTTAGTTTACATTCAGTAAACTTCCATACTTCTGTATGTTTTAAAATCTGTATAATTGGGTTGTGGTGGCTCATTCCTATAATCCATTGTATTAATGCATCCCAGTTTGTTTATCCATTTGCCTTTTGAGCAATAGTTGTGTTTTCAGTTTTTGGAGCTTATGAATAAAGCTGTTATAAATGTTCACATACAGTTTTTTATATAAACATAGGCTTTCATTTCTTTTATGTAAATACATAGGAGTCAGATTGTTAGGTTGTGTATTAAGCATATGTTCAGCTTTATTAAGAAAATGCCAAACTTTCCGGAAATGCCTATACCATTTTGTGTTTCTGGCAGTAATGTATGAGAGAGTTCCTGTCATTTTGCTTCCTCTTCAGTATTTGTTATTGTCAGTTTTCTTTTTTAGTCATTCTAATAGATTGTCTCATTTTAATTTGTACATCTCTAAAGATTAATAAAGTTGGAGCGGTGACTATGGCTCAGTGGGTAGGATGCCAGCCCCATATACTGAGGGTAGCAGGTTCAGACCCAGCCCTGGCCAAACTGCAACAAAAAAGTAGCCTGTAGTCCCAGCTACTCTGGAGGCTGAGGCAAGAGAATTGCCTAAGCCCAGGAGTTGGAGGTTGCTGTGACTTCAAATTTTAAATATGTGACACCACAGCACTCTACTGAGAGCGATAAACTGAGACTCTGTCTCTACCAAAAAAAAAAAAAAAACTTATTATTAAAGTTGAGCATCTTTTCATGAGTTTATTACCTAGTCATCTCATATATCTTCTTTGGTGAAATATATGTTCACATCTCACTCTTTTTTAAAAATTGAGTTCTATTATTGTTGCATTTGAAAGTTTTTTGCCTGATACATATTTTTTTTCAGCTGTGTGATTTGCAAATTCCTCCCTCCCCCTCCAGTTTTTGGTTTTTCTTTTTCTTCCCTCAGCACTGTCTTTTGCAGAGCAAACAGTTTAAGTTTCGGTGAAGTATAGTTTATCAATTTTTTTCTCTTATGGATTGTATTTTTGATATATCTAAAACTCTTTGCTCAATCCAAGGTCACAAAGCTGTTCTATGTTTTCTTCTAGAAGTTTTATAGTTTTACATTTAGATTTATGTTCCATTTTGAGTATCGTATAATATGACAAACATAGGAATATTCATTTGCATGTGAATATTCAGTATTTCCAGCACCATTTTTTTTTGGGGAGACAGAGTCTCACTTTGTCGCCCTTGGTGGTGTCATAGCTCATAGCACTTCAAACTCTTGGGCTCAAGTGATTCCCTTGCCTCAGCCTCCCAAGTAGCTGGAATTATAGGTGCCTGCCACAATGCCTGGCTATTTTTAGAGACAGTGTCCTGCTCTTGCTCAGGCTGGTCTTGAACTTGTAAACTCAGGCAGTTCACCCACCTTGGCCTCCCAAAGTGCTCAGATTACAGGTGTGAGCCACTGCGCCCAGCCTCCAGCACTATTTTTTGAAAAGACTGTCCTGTATTTGTTGAATTGGCTTTGCATCTTTGCCCAAAACCACTTGATCCTATTTGTTTGGTTCTATTTGTGTATTCTCTCTTCCCATGTGTCTGTATGTCTTTTTGCCAGTGTCAGACTACCCTGATTATTGTAGCTTTGTAGTAAGTTTTTTTTTGCTTTGTTTTGTTTTGTTTTATAGACAGAGTCTCACTTTATTGCCCTCGGTAGAGTGCTGTGGTGTCACAGCTCACAGCAACCTCCAGCTCTTGGGCTTAAGCAATTCTCTTGCCTCAGCCTCCTGGGTAGCTGGGACTACAGGCATCCCCCACAACGCCCGGCTATTTTTTTGTTGCAGTTTGGCCGGGGGCCGGGTTAGAACCTGCCACCCTTGGTATATGGGGCTGGTGCCCTACTCACTGAGCCACAGGCGCTGCCCCACTTTATAGTAAGTTTTAAAGTAAGGTAGTATGAGTTCTCCAACTTTGCTCTTCTTTTTCTTTTTCTTTTTCTTTTTTTTTTGAGACAGAGCCTCAAGCTGTCCCCCTGGGTAGACTGCTGTGGCTTCACTGCTTACAGCAACCTCCAACTCTTGGGCTCAAGCGA